GCAGGAGGAGTTTGTGAACTTGAACCCGGAGTTCATGCCTACTGACAAGATAAAGAAAAGCATTGTCAATATTAATCAATGGACAGAATTCTTACTGCACAGATTGAATGTGAAATGTTCCAGATATAATAGAACTCAAGACTAGTGCTGCAACAGCAAGGACTAGATTCCTAGCCTTTGTTACGTCTGCTTTTTAAGAGGTTAGGGTTCATGAAACTCACGCTGAGTCAACTCCATGCCAGTCTCTTAATAACTTTATTCTCTCTGTAAGCTCTGGTACTAAAGCTAAAGCTGATCCGAGTTCAACAATATACCGAGGAATTAGGAAAACATGAGTGATATGCAAGAAATAACTGATAAAATCGAAGAGCTGCATATTGATCTTCCGATAAGTCATGTGCAGTTCGAGGCCTTCCAGGATAGAGTGAAGACAACATTCAGAAGGGTCAATACAGTCAAGAATGCTAAGGAGCTTATTGATCAGTCACTAGATTGTGATCTTAGGGTTGAAACTTGAAAACTAGAAGATTTGTATCAAAAATTGGAGAAAAAACATTTCTATCTTACCAACAAGGTCCAGGATCTGAAAAATCAGTACAGGATCACTGGAGATTAGAAAGGATTGGAGACTAAATATCCTACATTCTCAGGTGAACAGACAGATAAACAGGATTATTATTCATTCCATGAAGATTGGGATCTCTGTGTTGCTCTCAAGGGCCCCTCTCAAGCTGAGCAGCTTCGTGTTCTGAATTACCAAAGTTTAACTGGTTTTGCCCATGATACATGTCCTCTCTCTGTGAAATCTTATACCTTAGCTGGTTTTCCACCACAGAGGTTTCTAAAGATGGAATTCATGTAGGCTTGCTAGGTTTGCTCTGGGATTCTGAACATGATCTCATGAGGATTGATATCAAAGAACTTTGATATAGTTAAATGTGTTGTTCTTCCTCCTGTGGTCTCCGGTGACATTGAAGAAGCTCTCTGTCTGAACTTCACTTGGAGAGACCAAGAGGTAAGGTTGCTGCTGTATATGATCCTCTGGGATTAGTTACCCCAATTATAACAACTTAAGCTGGACCTTCATGTTGAGAACCTTGGTTGGGATGATCAGGTCCCTGACTCCTACCTGGAGAAATGGATCACAAACCTCCAGGATATCCAGACCATCAAAGAAGTAAGATTCCGCAGAACCATAATTCCCAAGGATGCCTCCTCTCTCAACTTCACCCTTGTAGTCTCCTCAGCTGCCTCCAAATCTTTAGTGGTTGCCTCTGTCCACACCAGAGTACCTCTTGTCTCCAGTGGATTCCTCTGTCAACTCTTGACAAATAAAATTAAGATTGTCTGCTACACCACCATTGCCCATGCTGAACTCCGGACTGCTGTGATGTCAGCCTCCTTGTCCCACTCCGTTCAACATTACCTCCATATACAAGTCCCTGATGTCATCTACACTAATGATTCCACCATTGTTTTCCATGATAAGAGCCCCCTTGAGACTGCTGTCTAAAACTCTGTTATAGAAATCCAGAGATTAAGTCATGTGAAACAATGATTTCATATTGAAGGTTTGTCGAATATTGCTGATCTTAGTACAGGCCATGCTGAAGTCTCCAAAATCTCGGAAAAGACTGAATGGCAGAATGGTAAACCTTGGATGTATCTATCGCATGATGAAATGCCTCTAAAGAGTATAGAAAAGATTAATCTCTCCACTGAAGAGAAGAGAAATGCTGTTCTGGAAACCAAGAACTCCATAATGAACAGTGATCTCCCTGACCTCATCCCTAGAGTCTTCAAGAGATACAACTTCTGGAACAATGTTTATGATCCAAATAAATGTAGTTGGGTTTCATCTCCCAGTGTGGTTTCTTGTGTATTCAGCTTCATCTCCAACTGTAAACCTGGTTTAAGTCCATCCAGGTTTCCTCCTCCGCCTCCGGTGTTCCTGATCACTAGAGTACCCCTTTCTCCGTAAAGATCTGATAACTATTATTTCCTGAATGCTACTATGGAAGTCTAGCAGTTTTCCGTAGAGAAGGAATACAAGAACTCTTGCATCGTCAAGAATGGTATATTACATTTCCTTGGCAGGATCTTAGACAACCAAGAAATAAATGTCTCTGAAGAAAAACTGTCTCAAACTGCAAACTGCAACCCTAGAATATTGAAATCCTGGCGAGAAAACCTTTGAAAGATTAAAGAAGTGTGAGAACTGTCATTGTGGAAATCTTTACCCCTCATTGTTAAACCTGAGTTCTAATATTCAAGATTAGAAGTGTCAGCAGCATCATGTTCAACCATAAAACTAGACTTAAGAGTGAATCTTAAAACTAAATCTAACTGTGAATTCAAACACTGACCTTCCTTCCCATCGGGCATTGTAAGATCTAAGGATATTGTTTAGGTTTATTCACAAGATGAAGAATTATGAGACTCTGCAAGTGATAATGAAGAAGTTACTCGTTCCCCAGATAATCAAATCTATAAACATTTTTTCTTAAATCTGAGAATTTTACCTAAGAACCCTATATATTAGACACTTTTTACTGAGCACAAGAATTTTATATAAACTATCAAGTCTTAGATTTTATTGAAAAGCTTAGCCTAAAATATTTAATGGCCTTTATGTTTCAGAACATAATGGGATAGATTTTATTTATTAACACGAATATCCTGTTAGCTCCAGGTTGTGCACTCTAGGTTTATAAAACATCTAAATACTCTTATGATTTCCAATGAACACAAAACTCTATTTTAATTTGATAAGTCTATCGATGTTTATAAAAGTGATCCCAGATAATAGTCTTGTACCACCACCTGTTCTACCCCTGAACTCTGAACTATAAATATAAACAGGCGATTATTGAGAACTTTCAGTTAATCTGACTTAAGTAATTCTTGGTTTATCTTTCTGATCAAACCTCCTCCGTACCCTGGTTATCTTCCCCAGGAGAGAAGGACCTAGCTGTCTCCAACCAGATGGTCCTGTGATCTTCTTCTAACTAAATAGCAGTAGCTGCAATCCCTCTGCCATAGTTGTACAATGGCATGAGCTGTGTCCTCTCTCCTGAACCTGCTGACTCTCCGCCTTAGCTGCTGATTCTCCACTGTAGCTGCAATCTGCAATCTGCATATCAATCCTGAGTGCAAGATCACTTTACCTAATCTCCGAGATGATCATAGATGTACCTACTATTCCCCAGTCTCTGTCGGAAAACAATAGGTATAGGTATAAATTAGTTTTTTATGATTAAAGTGAATTACTTTTCGAAGAAAGGAACAGTTGATAAGACATATTGAACGTTTAAGCTCAATACCTTTCATGTGAACTGACCAAAATTAAAAACCTTTAAAACACATTTTTTCTATTTTTATCATTCATAAACCTTTCCTGTGGTCATGTGATGTCCCACAAAAAATTTGGGCCCGATCGGTTCAGCCGTTTTGACGTTTATTGGATACAAACAAACAAACAGACAAGCCAAATTTATATATAGATATGATTCTTTTGATACTTATATAATACATTTATCTAACAATGACTGATATTGTATTTTCTCAATTCAGCAAATAAAACCCTAAAAATGTTTGACGCTCCCTGCTAGCATTTATAATTTAAAAAAAAAAAAGATTTCTCTTGAAAATATACACTCCTAAAATTTTTTAACCAGAATTAGTAGCTACAGAAAACTAAATTAATCGCGATTATGTATGAAAAATAACTTGTTTTATGAAATAAATTTGAATTTAAAAAGATCAACTATCAAACAAATATTTCCCTATACTACCTGCTGTTGGCCCTGCTGTTGCTGTTGCTGCTGCTGCTGCTGCTGCTGCTGCTGCTGCTGCTGTTGTTGTTGTTGTTGTTGAAGCTGCTGCTGTTGTTGCTGTTGTAATTGTTGTTGCTGTTGCAATTGCTGTTGCTGTTGAAGATGTTGCTGCTGCTGTTGTTGTTGAAGTTGTTGTTGCTGTAAACTCATCATATCTAAGGTGTGTAAAGGATAAAAAAGTGAAATCATAAAATACGCAAAATAAGGATGAACATTTTTTCTGGATTCATTTTCAAGTACCAACATAGAATTCTACTAGAAATTCCAAGAAATGTTTTTTGTTTTAAAAAATATAAAGAAAAGGGCCGTCGCATATGGGTGTTACTGTTAATGATAAGAAAAGTTTTAAATTCCCTAGTGAAAATTAAATATTTGATTGTCTTAGAATCGTCTTAAAGACCCAAGCTCATATCAGTTTAAATATGTTGAAAATTGTTGAAGTTATAGGAAAATTGGTGAAGTTATAGGAAAATTTGTGAAGTTATAGGAAAATTGGTGAAGTTATAGGAAAATTGGTGAAGTTATAGGAAAATTGGTTAAGTTATAGGGAAATTGGTGGAGTTTTAGGAAAATTGGCGAAGTTATAGGAAAATTGGTGAAGTTAAAGGAAAATTGGTGAAGTTATTGGAAAATTGGTGAAGTTATAGGAAAATTGGTGAAGTTATTGGAAAATTGGTGGAGTTTTAGGAAAATTGGCGAAGTTACAGTAAAAGTGGTGAAGTTATAGGAAAATTGGCAAAGCTATAGGAGAATTGGTGAAGTTATAGGAAAATTGGTGAAGTTATAGGAAAATTGGTGAAGAAAATGCTGCAGTAAAAAAGACTTCTGGGTCCAAGCACAAACGATACAATTTTAAAAGCAATACTTTAACATTCTTAATATCAAGTTTTTGAATTTGTTACATTGCATTGAATTTAATATCCCTAATAAAAAATACTTTTCTTGTTTTGTTAAAGAATTGATTTTTCATAGCAGAATTTGAAAAAACATTATTTTCAGATATTTATTCATTATTGACTGTCCCGTAATAAATCAGCCACTATTCAGTTGCAACATATATTTTACTGATTACCTGGAAATATCGGCTGATAATCAGCTATTTTTAGAGCAACAAGCCAATAGTCAGCCTGGAGAGAGTTTTCTCTATAACTCGGCCATTTAAAGTCTGAAATTAGAAATTCAAGAGTGGAAGATGATTATAAAAATAAAAGCGTTGCGACTAAAATATTTTTGATTTACATACATTGCAAATACATAATACATGCAATACATAGAAAGAGAGAAAGTTAAAAATAAATTGATTGTTTGCATGGAACAGTACAAAGTCAGTTTTATCAAAGCGTGGATAAAAATACAGTTTATCTGTAAAATTAGCAACCTGTTTTATTAGTAGCAGTAGTAGTATTACTACGAATAGCGTTTTATTTCTAGGAAATAATCGTCATAGCTCTAACATAGAACTTTGACTGGACTTCAGACTTTACACGCTTAAATTTTGATTCAATGTTTTCATACTGAAAGACGTCAAATTATTAAAATTAATATACATAATATTATGATAATGTTTCTTTGGGCAAAATTTTGTACAATTTTAGTTTAGGTTTGATTAATTATATTATTGTAGGTAATAGGTATTCTAGGTCGGGGTCTGAAGACCGTAAGGACAATATAGACAAAAAAAGGACAAAATTCAGGATGCCGACAAGAAAGTGCAAAAAAGTACTAAATGAGAATAAGAACAATAAGAAGAGGGACAAAAGGGACAAAAGAAGGGGATTGATGTGGACAAAAGAAGGGGATTGGGGTAAAAAAAGGACCAAAAAGGATTAAGGACAAATTAGAAAACAAGAATAAAAAGGACAAGAAGAAAGTGGTTAAATCCCAACTTTGAAAAAAAAGTGCAAGAAAAGACGAGACAGGGTTAAGATGAAAGGACAGGATAAAAGTCAGACTAAGTAAGACAAATCAAGGACAGGATAAAGGATGGACTATGGGCAAGAAGAAGGAGTAGGATCAAGGTTGGACTGGAAGAATGACTAGGATCAAGGTTGGACTGGAAGAAGGACTTAGATCAAAGTTGGACTATAGACTGGAAGAAGGACTAAGATCAAGGTTGGACTATACACTGGAAGAAGAACTCAGATCAAGTTTGGACTAAAGACTGGAAGGAGGAGTAGGATCAAAGTTGGACTGGAAGGACTAGGATCAAGGTTGGATCGGAAGAATGACTAAGATCAAAGTTGGAATTTAGACTGTAAGAAGGACTAAGATCAAGGTTGGACTTTAGACTGGAAGAAGGATTAGGATCAAGGTTAGACTATAGACTAGGATCGGACGAGTTTTGACTGAATCCACTCGTCCGTGAGTTCCTCTAGTTCCCTGATCTCGTAAACATTCTGAGATTGAATCTAAAAATAAATAAAGAAATTAAAAAAATTAAAAACTACAAATCAAGATTTTATTAAAAATGGTCAACTGGTAGTTAATAATTATGTAATGTGCACTCACTTGTTTCTTTAAAAAAGCTTGTTATGCTACAAAATAAAAATCAACAGTAAAACGTTAAAATTTCTTCTATTCAATTACAATTACTTAAAAATTATTTTGGTGTACAATTTTTAGATATGAATCATGCATCCACTCTCCCCCCGTTCAGTTTCGTTGCTATATTTTGATTATTAGATGTAAAAAAAAAACGTTAATTTGGTCCAAAGTTGGGGCTCTAGTTCGGGGTTCCAGCGAACAAAACGTTGCGAAATTTTCGCAAAAATAAATGAAGCGAAAAAGAAGCGAAATTTCTCGAAATGCAAAAATATTTTCGCCAAATGCGAAAATTTCGCGGAAATGCGAAATTTTGTTAACTAAAAATGTTTTATCATAATCATGTATAACAACAACAAGTAGCAAGTGTAAAAAAGTGTAAAAGTAAAATTTTATAACGTATCTTGGAAGTATGGATAGTTATTAAGCAGGGTGAATTTAAAATATTCCAAATTATTTTGGTTCTTCCCGTAGTAGATTTTTTATTGTGGATGCAAGATCTTAACGGTCGAGAAAGTACTTTCAAGCAAATCTATGAATTGTCTGATGTCTCCTAAGAATGAATGTTTGCAACTTTTCCGCTAAACTGGTGCATTTTATTTTAAAAATTCTTTATTTTTCGCGAAATTTTCGGGATTTTTTTTTTGCATAATGTCCATTTTTTACGCGAAATTTTCGCACTATATTTTTCAAAACTTCCGCATTTTATCGCGAAAATTTTCGCATTTATCGCGAGCGAACGAAATGCGAAAATGAAGCGAAATGATCGCGAAAAAAAAAATACTTTTCGCTGGAAACCCTAGGCTCTAGCTACCCCTTGACAGTCTGTGAGTAAATTGACAGTAAAAGAAAAACATGCATTTAAGACCATTTGTTGAAAACTTAAATGTTAAGTTCCGAATCAAAATTTAATTATTTTTGATGGAGAAGTGTTCAAAATAAACCTGTGCGCTGTTTTATGAGGAAATTTTAATAAACATTGTTAGCGAATATTTTAGGTAAGCTTAAGACCATTTTAGGGCTTAGCTCATTGGCCACTGATATGGGTCAAGTACAATAGGATTAAGAGCTGCTACTATGGATGGGAAAATAGTATATTTGGAACTCAAGGAGAAAATAGTATATTTGGAACACAAGGAAGAGAAAATAGTATATTTGGAACACAAGGAGAAAATAGTATATTTGGAACAAGGAAACTCGAAAATTATATTTTACCATTACCTTATTCACCAAGGACAACTTCGATCCAGCATACATCATCTGGAGTTCAGGTTTACAATCCCTGAAATAATTACATCATCTGGAGTTCAGGTTTACAATCCCTGAAATGAATACACCATCTGGAGTTCAGGTTTACAAATCCCTGACATAAAAACACCATCTGGAGTTCAGGTTTACAATCCCTGAAATAATTACATTCAGGTTTACAATCCCTGACATAATTACACCATCTGGATTTCAGGTTTACAATCCCTAAAATAATTACATCATCTCGAGTTCAGGTTTACAATCCCTGACATAAATACACCATCTGGAGTTCAGTTTTACAATCCCTGAAATAATTACATCATCTGGAGTTCAGGTTTACAATCCCTGAAATAAATACACCATCTGAGTTCAGGTTTACAATCCTTGACATAACCATCTGGAGTTCAGGTTTACAATCCCTGAAATAATTACAGTTCAGGTTTACAATCCCTGACATAAATACACCATCTGGATTTCAGGTTTACAATCCCTAAAATAATTACATCATCTCGAGTTCAGGTTTACAATCCATGACATAAATACACCATCTGGAGTTCAGTTTTACAATCCCTGACATAATTACATCATCTGGAGTTCCGGTTCAAAATCCCAGAAATAATTACGTCATCTTGAGTTCAAGTTTACAATCCCTGACATAAATACATCATCTTGTGTTCAGGTTTAAAATCCCTGACATAAATACATTATCTGGAGTTCAGGTTTACAATCCCTGACACAATTACATCATCTCAAGTTCAGGTTTACAATCCCTGAAATAAGTACAGCTTCTGTAGTTCAGGTTTACAACCCCTAAAATAATTTCACCATCTGAAGTTCAGGTTTTCAGGTTTATAGAAAATATATAGTGGGAATGAATTACAATAACTTTGGGATTAAAATATGAAGCAAAGTGGGAATGAATTAGCATACCTTCCGGATGAAAATATGAAAAAAGTGGGAATAAATTAACATACCTTGGGGATGAAAATATGAAGCAAAGTGGGAATGAACTCCTTCCGTCTGAGTGCTGCAGTGGGTAACTGAACAGGACAAACCTAAACAGAATCCATAAAAATATGGAAGTAAATAAAACTTATTTTATGTATCTGATTATCATATTTGGTTAATCCATTAGTACCATCAGAAATACCGCGTATGTTCTCGTGAACAATATCAAGAGTCGCAGTCAGTTCTTATAACCGTCCAGCAGCTCAGCTAATGTAACCGCCTGCAGGTCAGGCTACAGGGATTAGGTCTAGGTTTGGGTTGAACTGAACCGGCCAAACGTTGACCGCGCAGAGTAGCCGGTATAAATACCCAGGGTGTTTAACTCTACATTACAGTACTCAACTAATCATTGGATATTGCACAGTATTTAGTAGAACCGGCGTAAATATGAATAAGATCAGTTTTCTTCTCCTCATTCTTCTCCAGGGTCTCCTCTCATCAGGATACACTTTTCTTGTCAACCCTGGAGACAAGAACAAAGAAATCAGTCACAGGGAGAACTTGAACCCAGCCAGCTCTATTGAAGCAGAACAACAGTTTAAATCAGATTTGGAGAAGCAGTTGAGGATAGCTGTGGCAGATCTGGGGTTGAGTAAAGAGACTGTTCCCCAGGAACATTTCCGTTTCCTCTTCAAGAAACCCAGCGCAGAGTTTAAGGCGAAGAAACAATATATTTTGAGCAAGGTCAAACCCAGAAAGAACTCCAGGTGGACTCAACAGTAGACTGAACTAGTTCACAAAATATATATCTTATCTATCTATTTAATGGAGATTAATATCTTATATCTTGTTTACATCAAATATACTTAAGATTTTTTATTTTGTTTTAATGTCAGGACATTGTTTAGTTCACTAGAAAAATATATTTAATATTCAATGGTATGCCGGAATGATTCATTATTCTCGTTTTTTAATTTAATCTGTACGATAAAGCTCTTCGCTTATATATATATTAATATGTATCTTCTTAAAATAAGTCTATAAGTCTATTGTTTATTAATATTGGTTATTATATATTTAAATGTTAGGTATAGCTGGCTAAACGGCTGGACCGAATGGGCTGACGTTTTGTGGGAACCCATGGGTATCCTTGGGGCAACAAAGGCATATTTTTTTAATTCGTTTTTTTTTCAATTGTTACTAACATATCACGGGCAACGCCAGGAACTTCACCTATATACTTTTCTTGTTCATGTTCTGGTAAAGAATCTCTAACCTGAGTTTATGTTCTGGTAAAGAATCTTTAACCTGGGTTCATGTTCTGGTAAAGAATCTCTAACCTGAGTTTATGTTCTGGTAAAGAATCTCTAACCTGAGTTTTTGTTCTGGTAAAGAATCTTTAACCTGGGTTCATGTTCTGGTAAAGAATCTCAAACCTGAGTTTATGTTCTGGTAAAGAATCTGTAACCTAGGTTGGTGTTCTGGTAAAGAATCTCTAACCTGAGTTGGTGCTCTGGTAAAGAATCTTAACCTAAATTTATGTTCTGGTAAAAAATCTCTAACCTGTGTTGGTGTCCTGGTAAAAAATCTCTAGTTCCTAGGTTGCTGTCCTGGTAAAGAATCTCTATTCTGGGTTGATATTCTATTAAAGAATCTCTAACCTGGGTTGATGTTCTGGTAAAAAATCTCTAACCTGGGTTGGTGTTCTGGTAAAAAATCTCTAACCTGGATTGGTGTTCTGGTAAAGAATCTCTAACCTAGGTTTGTGTTATGGTAAAAAATCTCTAACCTAGGTTGGTGTTCTGATAAATAATCTCTAACCTGAGTATATTTTCTGGTAAAGAATCTCTAACCTGGGTTCATGTTCTGGTAAAGAATCTCTGCCCTGAGTTGGTACTCTGGTAAAAGAATCTCAATCTGAGTTTATGTTCTGGTAAAAAATTTCTAACCTGGGTTGGTGTTCTGGTAAAGAATCTCTAACCTGGGTTGGTGTTACTCTGGTAAAAGAATCTCAATCTGAGTTTATGTTCTGGTAAAAAATCTCTAACCTGGGTTGGTGTTCTGGTAAAGAATCTCTAACCTGGGTTGGTGTTCTGGTAAAGAATCTCTAACCTGGGTTGGTGTTCTGGTAAAAAATCTCTAACCTGGGTTGGTGTTCTGGTAAAGAATCTCTAAGCTCCTCTGCAGAAGTATCCTCCAAGGTTTCATCACAAACAATTGTCTGAGAGTCCTTGTCAACCTAGAATAGTATCAGCTTTAGAGATTTTAAAATAGATCTAAGGTTTAAAAAAGATATAAAAAATTGTGGCTCGAGAAGATGCAAGATGATTTTAAGGAAATGTGAAAAATTGATGCTGGAAGGGATGAAAAATGGGGTCACGGCGGCGGAATGAAAAATTCCGTTACGGTGGGATAAAAGAGTTGGTTACTGTGGGATGAAAAGAGTCACAGAGGGATAAAAAAAATAGTTACAGAGGGAATTTGGGCCATGGAGGGATGATAAATTGAGGCAAAGAGAGATAAAAATTGGGTCAAGCAGGGATGAAATATTTGGTTACGGAGGGGCAAAAAAATGAGTCACAGAGGGATAAAATATTGGGTCACGGAGGGATGAAATATTGAGACACAAAGAGATGAAAAATTGCGTGACGGCGGGATATAAAATTGGGTTACAGAAGGATGAAAAATTGGGTTACGTAGGGATGAAAAATTGGTTCACGGGGGGATGAAAAGCTGGGTCACAGTGATATGAATGTTGATTGTTGGGTCACAGAGGGATGAAATATTGGGTCAGTGCGGGATGAAAAATTCAGTTACGGTGGGATGAATAATTGGGTCTAGAAGGACGGAAAATGGTTTAAATGGAGTCTAAAGAGAGGGGGGATGGTCTAACAGGATTGCATGTGTAGGAATAAAGGGAACATCCACGTAATTTTGATTTACCCTTCGTACATGCCATATTCACAAAAATCCCCTTTAAACATTTTTCTGAGGAAAGATAACATGAATATAACAGGTTTTCTTAATGAAATTATGGTTTCCTTAAAATAGTGACTTTTTCTTCATTGTGGCTCATATATAGGGGTAATAGTTAGTTACCAATGCAATCCTTTGATTTTTTCAGGGGTGTATATTTTGAAGAATTACCCCATGGGAAAACACGAAAAAAAACATTAAAAATTGGTTTAAAATAACAAGAAAATATTTTTAAATTGGGGGAGGGGTGGTGATTTTCAAGAAAATATATCACACTGGATTTACATTCCTTTGAAGCTGGGATGCAAGAATGGGGAAAAGAGATTTCTTAAATTTTACGAACCTTCATGACAATGGCAGCACAGCTGATTTCTTTCCGAAACCTATAGTAGAAGAAAATGAGAAAACCACTAACAAAGGAAATGAACACTTGACTAATAAACTCATATCTGATTTTTAAAACCTAATTGTGTAAACTGTAACCCTTAGATATTTAAAACTTGCCGACACTTTAATCTTACAGAATTCATAGTTTGAAATATCAAAGATATGTATGTACAAGGCTTGGGAAATTAGAATTACAAGATTGGAAAATTAGAATTTGTGGTAAGTGCCGGATTCCTTTTTAGACATTAAAAGCATTATTGCAATTATTGCATTATTACAATACCGCTTTTCTATTTTTGAAACTTTTCCAATAAACTAATTTACTTTTAGAAAAAGTTATTGAAGACTTTATTAGTCTTTTTTTGAGTGCATTGTGAAAGATCAAAGAAAATAAGAATGATGAAAATATAAATTTTATGGATTTTTAAATATAATGTTTGACCTGAACTCTGTCAGCTGTTTCTCTAGATCAGAATGAACTGAACAAACTTCTACGTTTCCGGCCATTTTCTTCAAAATTTCTTATCTATTTTTCATCTGAAAATATGAATTATATTTCTTTTGTTATTTAAACCATTACTGTCGATAAATTGTAATTTGTAAAAGACGATGCTAAATTTTTTTTTCAAAAATGTAAATTTTTTTTTTCAATTGTATATTTTACGTAAATAAAAGGTGCGATTCTTTAAAATCAGATAAATAGATGAGCAGGTTGTCTTAAATGAAAACTTTAAGAAAATGTTTTAAAATACTTGGTACGGTTAAATTTTTGTAAATTTATTTAACAATAGTACCGAATTTAATACATTTAAAATCGGACATAATAGACATATTTTTAAATTTTGTTAAATTCTTTGTTTTAACAAGGTTATCACAGTATTTGATATGTTTCAAAATTTAGGAAAAAGCAACTAATAAAAAAAATGGAAAGGCAAACATATAGGTCTACATATAAACAAACATTTATAGGTAGTTTTAGCAAATATTGATGAAGCATTGTGCATAATGATAAATCGATCGTGCTAGTATCATATTTAGCAGATTTTTCTGTAAATATAAGTTTATCATATATAAACAAAAACCTTGCTTTAAGTACATTGTACACAGTAAATAAGAAAATAGCGTAAAGAATACTTAAATATTATTTAAACTAAAGAACAACAATGCTTTAAATTCAATCAAAATCAAAATATACGATTTAAGCTTTTGTGAAGTTTGACTACCATATAACAAAGAAAGGTTAGTTTCCTCATTTTCAGACCTAATTTATTATTAATTTCGCATTTCTTTAAAAGTATTGATTTTAACGATCCCAATTGAATTTTTTTTAACATTTTGTGCGTATTTTTATATATTTCTCTTGAAACCCTGCCAATCGCATGTTAGGGTAACGGTATTTTTCATATGAAAAACTTAAACAATTTCATCGTAAATAAAAGTTTCCTTTAAAATTCATTAGTTTTCCCCATTTTAATAGTATGCCCCTGGGTAGGAACAATATTAAAAATGTAAAATTGCGCACTTTTTAGTACATCTCAGTCATAAACACTAGTATGTACTAACATGTACACCAGAACATAAAGTACGTATGTACAAGGAGAGATTAGGCTTCCAGAGCTGGGTACTCCAAGATCCAACAACTGGACTTTCTAAATAAAAACAAAAATATGGAATAAAACAAAATAAAACAATTTTCTGAATCGTTATCAATAAAAAGATTCGCCGCATCAAAAAATTAGGATGCGGCTCCAGACAGTTTTTCAGAATACGGAAATTGCTTAAAAATGACCCAAGGTCTGAGCAAGATAAAAAATTATTTATCAAGGGCTTAGGATCCATTTCCTTTTTATGTGGATTCGGATCCTGAATCAGCCCTGAAATATTGGATTCGGATCCTGAATCAGCCTTGAAATATTGGATCCGGATCCTGAATCAGCCTTGAAATATTGGATCCGGATCCTGAATCAGCCCTGAAATATTGGATCCGGATCCTGGCCATAAACTTCGAATACTGATTTTTTTAACAAAGAAAATTTTACTAATTTGTTATTCTTTTTTTTCGCTGACTTTTAAGCATGAACATTGAACAATTCCAAAAATTTGGAAATTTATAAGAATCTCTTATTTTTGTAAGCAAAAAGTTTTTTATTTAGGTTTTGGTTTATATTTTGCCCTTGGATCCCGATCCATGGATCCGCATGTTTTTGTGGATCCAGATCTTAAGCACTGAATTTGGCTTAGATATAACCGGTTTATGTCCTCGTTAAATTAGTGCCATTTAACCTTACATTAACGATTATGATATCTTATATAACAGAGCTCACAAGTAACGGTGAAAACTAGAATTTAATATTATTTGTAACCAGTGCTTAGGATCCGGATTCGTTGGATCCGCAAGATTTTGGCTCCCTAGATCCGGATCCGGATCTAAGGGGTAAAATATCAAGCAAAAACTGCAAATAAAACTTTTTTACTCCTAAAACCAAAATTTGAACATTTGAAAAAAAGAGATTATACAATTTCCTCATTTCTGAATGGTTCATCAAGTTTTAGGATAAAAATATGCGAAAAAAATAAAACTTAACTTATAGATGATGAACTATAAATTCATTGACAGTGTCAAACCTTTAAAGCATCCTGCCCAGGACGGAGTTGAACCTGAACCTGGCGGAGGAGCTCCAGGGTCTGGGATAAGGAGGAAAGGTTCTCGTCCTGTGTCTCCAGGACCCTGGAGATGTTTCTTGTTCTTATCTCCAGCTTTTCTGCTAGATTTCTCACCTCAGTTATATTCTTATCCTTCAATAGATTTCAAAATCTTTTAAACCTTATTTTATGAAAAAGTTAATTTACATCAATATGGCTTAATTTTTTCGAAGAGACCCAAAAATATATGTGCATGTTTTAATGAGATAATATTGCGTAAAGATTTTCTTTTAACAACTGATTAACAAACTAGTTAAATAATACACAAACAAAATTTTAAGCTATTAAAAAAATCTACTTTAACACCAGGTTCAGTAAATTTCTTTATCAAAGGTTTGTGAAATAAAGAATATTGCAGAGAGAAAATAGTAATAAATTATTCATTTTCAGAGAAAGTCGTTTTAATTCTTGTTACTATAAAATAGTCCTTTACAACAAAAAACGTCAGTTCTAGCAAAATATTTTACCATTTATCTCTTAACTTAAATAGCGGTTTGAAAATCGCTTAACAATTTACAGGGTGGCCAAAACTTTTTTGAAAAAATCCGTACAAAAATCCGTACATTTTCAGAGGAAATCCGTACAATTTTCGAAAAAAAATCCGAACTATCAGTACATTTTTTGGAACAAATCCGTACATTTTTTTTTTAAAAATCCGTACAATTTTCGAAAAAATCCGTACAATTAGTACAATTTTCGAAAAAAAATCCCTGCAATCCGTACATTTAAGAAAAATAAAACCATTTTTGAAAATATTATTCAACACTGTCTCACCCCCTCAGCAACCAATGATGTTCCCTCAAACAACCTATATTCCTGGTAGTAAAAACACTACTGTAGGTATTTGAATGCTTGGATGAGAACCCGGAAATAATGAAAAAATNGACAGAGAAACAGATAGACACATACACATATAGATAAACAGAGAGACAGATAGGATATATGAACAGATAAATAAAAAGATAGATAAACTGACATGCAGATAGATATACAGATGGATAGACAGATAGCTAGATAGATAGCTAGACAGATAGCTAGATAGATAGCTAGACAATAGACATATAGCTAGACAGAGAGCTAGACAGATAGACAGATAAATAGACAGGTAGCTAGACAGTTAGCTAGACAGATAGATAAACCATTCTGAAATGAACACTTCTTGAACATATTCTCAAATGAACACCTCTGGGATCTCGAAAATTATGAATGAATTTTGATTGTCAATTGAAACGTTAATCAATCTAATATTATCTAGAATGCAGAAAATAAGTTAAACAAACCTCATTTTGACGAGATTTTTTTTGAAATTTTCATGAAAAACTCGCTGAAATGAGTGAAAATTTTAAAAAACCGGTGTATTTCCAGGATAAAAATCCGTACAATCCGTACAATTTGAAAAAAAATCCGTACAATCCGTACAATGCGTACAATTTTTGGGTTACAAAATAAAAAATCCGTACATTTTGGCCACCCTGAATTTAGGATCAATCACTTTGCGTGTGTCGGTTCGTAATGTAAAGTACTTCACAAACCTTGCTGATAAGAGAAAACCACAATGGTCATCTTTAAATACATCTACTTTATATTAGTTAACAGGTAAAATTTTGTTAGAAAAAAAAGCATTCTTAAAGATGGTAACAAAAGTCCACTAACCTGCTCTGATGCTATTCTGGCAATATTCTCGTTCATGATTCTTAATTTATTTTTAAGTTCTGTGTTCTCTAAGGTCAAGGATGCAATGTCCGCCGTGTTCTGCCCTTCTCTCAAGTCTAGTCGTTGAATTCTACAAAAAACAGAACATTTTTTAAATGACCAAGCAATATATATATATATATATATATATCAGTTGAAACGCAACAATCTTCTTATAACATTTTATTCATAAACAAATTGTTTCATGCTTTTATGCAATCATCAGTATGAATATATATATATATATATTTGATGCGCTTAGTTAGTTATACTTTTATTGAACAACTGACATAACTTCTAAATCGATTGTACTGACCTCTCATGACCCCTGAGAAGCTTAATGGTAAAAAATTTCAAAATAAATTGAAAGCCTCTTTAAGAAAACAAGGAAAATCTGCGAATTTTTTTAGTTTTGTGATTCACGAGAAATTGGTAACATGAATAGCAATATTGAAAAAAATATTGTAATTGGAATAGGCTTTGAAAACCTATTATAAATTGAATTATAGTTCTAATCAAATATCTGAACCAATTTTATGTGTTCGACAAATAAATCATAATAACATATAAATAATACTTTTTGTTTGCTACTTCAGTTAATTCAAAGATATAAAACATTCCACGAATAAACAATAGTCCCCCCCCCCCTCAAATTTGTACTTGACCATTATTTTTCAACAAAGTTGAATAATTATTTTGTATCAGTTTAGGGTTAGGTAAAGACAATTTCTGGGCCGAGCGCTGCGGCCGGGACAGGTTGGGGTGCCAAGCGCCCATACTAGGGGGTCGGGCACAGCGCCCACGTGTCCAACTTAGACCATGCGTAATATATTAAATATAAGTAATTTATAGAAGCATTCTTTAGAAATTTACTAAATCATGTCCTGAGAGAACTATAAAAGTTCACTGACCTGTCCAATAAGTCCTCAACATGACCATCAAGTTTACTAGCAATACTATCAGTCTTCATGTTGTAAAAGGTGAACATTATGATACAAATAAATACCAATATTATCATCAGAACTATCAGAATTGAATACAAGGCAAACCTTAAAATAAAAACCAAAATTAAAAATTTTGAAAATCCGCCGAAGAATAAGTTTATATCTAAAATTCCCACACATTTCTTTATGCTCTACGGAGTTGTCCAAAGTTAAATTACATCATTCAAAAGTTTCGAATTTCAACTTAATAAGAATCTTTTTTCATAAGAAATTTCACTTTAAACAAGACTTACTTCTTAGGTTTTGCTGCAATTTTGTCAGCTACACTTTTAGGTATCAAACTCTCATAAGGGGGTGGTAAATCTTCTTCCATTTTCTGAAATATATTAAATATACTGTCAAACAAATGAAAGCACAATGTGCTCGGACTACAACTAAAACTGCAATATTTTCACGCCAGTCACATATATATATATATATATATATCATATGGATATAAGTGGTCATGTGGGCGCAGCGCCAGCCCCCCTAGCCTGTCTTAGACGCAGCGCTCGGTCCCGTAGCCTTCCTAACCGCAGCGCCCGGTNGATGACCTTTTCCCTTCGATTTAGAGGAAAGAGTCCTTGATGATCCTAATAAATTTGTACATGCAGATCTCGTATGCAACTCATGCCATGGATAGTATTGGTCATGTGGCCGTAGCGCCCGGACCCCTAGCCTGTCCTAGCCGCAAAGCTCCGCCAAGAGGGGTCTAAAAATCGTTCTCTAGGACAGACTAATAGAATTTCACAATGGTTAAGTTAACAGATTCTAGACAGTAAACACGAATATGCTTGAAAATGACGTTTTTAAATGGAGGTTAATTAATATTTAATTACTTATTTATATTTTAATGCAGTACACTTGCTAGAATCAATCATTGAGCGATCTTTCTTGATTCTCAAATTCTTGATTTTCAATTTTCAATTTGGATTTTGGAAGTCACGAACAATGCGCGGCAAAATTCCACAACAATCAATGGTAATGTTACATCGTCTATACGCACCATCCGCTCTATTGAACTTCTGACATACTAACTTTCCGACCTACTGCAATATAGGACCTACGCCAGCTGATTATTTTTGTATTATTTAAGGGTTAGTTTAGGTAAAGACAATTTCTGTGCCAAGCGCTTTGGCTGGGACAGGCTACTGATCGGACCGAGCGCCACGGCTAGGATAGGCACTGCGGCCACAAGTCCATTAAGCAGCTGTAAAACGACGTACTAGTAGGTCGGATGTGTATTATAGTGAATTTGGCGTAGATGGAGTATAGCGGATTTGCGTAGGTCGAAAGATACACCATCCAATCAATTGTCAAAATAACAAAGACGACATCTAAACTTATCGGAACTAGATATACTTGAGTGTTTTCATGTCTGAATGGATAAGATAAAAAAATCTAAAAATAAGCTGGGTTATCAGGGCCATACTGAAGGTTTAGCCGTAGTGCAAGCGTACGAGAGCTTCAGTGTAGAAGGGGGGGAGGGGATTTAATCGTGCACCCCCTATAGAGGACTTTGCCCCCGGCCCCCCCAAAAAAAACAAAATATTGATTTAATTTTTTATCTATATTTCAAAGAACTCTTTTATACTGCTTGGTTTAGAACATTGTTGAATATAATAACAGGTTATTTAAATATTTTCTCCCGTAGCACTATAAATTTTCATGTTATAGTTATATTTCATAAATAAATAATTATTAAAAAAATCCTTGAAAAATCTTTACCCCTTTTCAAATTTCTATAGTTTCTTTGCTGATTTTTTTTGAGTTCGACGTACATACAGGGTGTCCCACGAAACATGACAGTATGCAGGACGACATGAATGTCGTCTTGATTTTTGATATAATTTGCTGCGTTCGATTGTCAACCTAATTTTAGAAGTAAATGTCTAGAGATAATAATCACAAAATTTCCCTTGTCCTGCCATTTCCAAAATGTGGTCTGCCTTTTTTGTGCTTTCAATATTGCCCGAGATATGAAGAATTTCGTTCAGATTTCGACAATTTTGCTTTTATTTAACAAAATTGAAATCTGAACCAAACTCTTTATATCTCCGGTAATATTGAAAGCACAAAAAACGCAGACCACTTTTTGGAAATGCCAGGGCTAGGAGAATTATGTGATAATTGTTTCAAGAATCATACATGTTATAGTAGATAGTAGAATAAATGTCACAAATAAATTCAAATACCAAAGACGACTTTCAAGTCGTTTTGCTATTGTCATGTTTCGTGGGACACCCTGTATCAAAAAGGATAAAAAACATATCTTTTGATGTCCATCCATATGGATGAGACTTGTGAGACGTTATTATAGTGAATTTATACATTTATCTATTATTTATATTATGCATGATTTCCTTCAACAGCATGGTATACAGTACACTTGTTTCTTTAATCATTAAATAAGCCAGTGAAATATTATATTCCAAAACTTTGTATTCCCTAATCAATAATAAGCACGGTGGAGGGGTGGTGACTGTTTGCATGTACATTATACATAATACGGTACATATTGATGATGAAAACTATGCTGCAGGGTTGAACATTATATGGCACTGTTCAAATAACTGAACTGTTTACAATATTAACCAATTATGTTTCACTAAAAAATGTTAGTTTTTATATTTCCAACATTTTGACTTTTAGTACAGTGAAACCCTTCATAACGAATACATCGGAAGAATTTATCACATGTCGTCATGACAATTTTTCAATGAGTTTCATACTATATTTCGTAAATTTCAGTATTTGCGAAAATAAATAAATAGCCATGAATATGCGGGAACAGTTTTAAAGACTTCCATATAATTATTTAATTAAAAAACTAAATATCTGCAACATTCCATTATCAGAAAGTGAAGAATACGACATTTGATGAATTCTTGCGATGTATTCGTTATTAAGGGTTTCACTGTATTACTTTGTGAAAAGTACATGTTCTTTACTCAGGGGTCGCACTGTGTACATGGTTTACCTGTACTAGGATGAGACTGCAGTAAAGACAACGTGAAACTCAATACCTTTGTAATCTACTATAACTGGAGTATTAAATTATTAAAAACTAGTATTGCAAGTAGAAGCTGTTATTTTAAGCAGGAATGCAACTTTTTAAACTTAACTTTTTACTTTAAATCTTTTGGTCTATGAATGGTATCCATGCACAATTAATCCCTGCCAATCATACATATCAGTTTTCAGCAAATTTGCAAAACTTTTAAAACTATTTTGAATTTCTGACATTCATGAGAAAGTTAATTTTAGGAAATGATGACCTTTTCCCTTCGATTTAGAGGAAAGAGTCCTTGATGATCTTAAACGATTCTTAGGATCATTTGCAGGGGTGCAATTCAGCNGTTCATCGAAAAACTCGCAAGTGAAATTATTTTCTAAAAACGCATTTTCCAAGTCAGTTTTTGTAGCTTTAAAAAAGTCGAGTTTAGACTCACTGTTTAGTTGTTGGTACTCAGAGTCAGCTAGGTCAGGTTGACCCATGTACTCGGGTACCAGGAATACTAGAAAGACTCTCAAGAAAGTCAGAAATACACATAAACAAAACAAATAAATAAATCACCATTAAATATGAAGGATGTTATAAGCTGGCGGCTCCCGCACAACAAGGAGCATCTAAATAAAAAGAGTATCATATTATGAAAATAAGTAATAGTTATGTCTGTGGCCAGAACTTCCACCAATGACAGTGCAGTATCCAATCCATGTAATAAATCCAGAGGCCCATAGTAAATCTAAATAAATTACGTTGTCCATTTAGCTAAATGTGCTCATTAGTAAATATGTAAATCATGTATTGCAATTACCAAATCTAGATACGTTATAGATATATATTACTCTGGCATACCAAGGTGGGAATGCCTAAACAACGTAAAAAAAAAAAAGCATAACTTGCAATTACTCTATTAAGACCTAACTCTTATCTATCATGAAGAAATATACTCAGTTGATATAAAGACTCTGATTTGATTGCTGCAGAGAGTGTAATTTGGTTCTTGTTGAAACATATGAGCTGATAACAGAGCTGATAAGATGTGGGAAACAGGAAATATTAACAAGGAACCAGTTCCCTGCAATAATTCAGGAAAAGAAGAACAGATATTACATGATTGCAGGAATGGTATGAGGATTTCAGAAAGCCTTTCCAAGAATGGGAAAGAAGAATCCAAACAGGAACAGGAAACCAGTTGTTGCAATGGATACAGTTTTGGCAGAGAACAGTTCTAACAACACAAGTCTGAAAACCCTGAAATTGAATGATATTAATCATGCGGGAAAGAAGGATACTGATTTGAGAAATATAGTTTAAAAATCAAGACCTTAAATCCTGATTTCCCTGGAAACCAGAAGCATTCCAGAAAAATGCAGGGGGTATTGAGTTTAAACAATAGGAATAAGAAGAATGATGAGAAAAAGTTGTAATGGATGAAAGAAGATGCACAGCAAGTAGAGGTAGAGAAAGAAGAACACCCAGACAAGCAAAGTAAATATATGCATAGATAAAGTTTGTAGTAATCTTTTAAGGGGGGGGGCACAACAAAATGTGCCCCACCCCCCTACACAAATGCTCTCGTACGCCCCTGACAACAATGATGATAACCATGATGATAACAATCATGACAACAATGATGATAACCATGATGACAACAATGATGACAACAATGAAGATAACAATGATGATAACCATGATGATAACAATAATGACAACAATGATGATAACAATGATGATAACAATGATGATAACAACAATGATAACAATGATGATGACAATGATGATAACAATGATGATGACAATGATGGTAACAATGATGATAACAATGATGGAAGCAATGAAGATAACAATGATGGTAACAACTATGATAACAATGATGATGACAATGATGATAACAATGATGATAAGAATGATAATAACAATGATGATAACAATGATGGTAACAACTATGATAACAATGATGATAACAATGATGATAAGAACAAGGATATACAGGGTTCAAGGGAGGAATTATTAATAAAAACAACAAAATGTGCCCCCCCCCCCCNAATGATGATAACAATGATGATAACAATGATGATAACAATGATGATAACAATGATGATAACAATGATGGTAACAATAATGATAACAATGATGGTAACAATGATTATAACAATGATGATAACAACAATGATAACAATGATGATGAAAATGATGATAACAATGATGATGACAATGATGATAACAGTGATGAAAACAAGGATGATAACAATGATGGTAACAATAATGATAACAATGATGGTAACAATGATGATAACAATGATGATAACAACTATGATAACAATGATGATAACAATGATGATAACAATGATGATAACAATGATGATAACATTGATGATAACAATGATGGTAACATTGTTGATTACAATGATGGTAACAATGATGATAACAAAGATGGTAACAACTATGATAACAATGATGATGACAATGATGATAACAACTATGATAACAATGATGGTAACAATGATGATAACAATGATGATAACAACTATGATAACAATGATGATAACAATGATGATAACAATGATGGTAACAATGATGATAACAATGATGGTAACAACTATGATAACAATGATGGTAACAACTATGATAACAATGATGATAACAACAATGATAACAATGATAATGACAATGATGATAACAATGATGATAACAACAATGATAACAACAATGAGAACAATGATGATAAATGATGATAAAAATGATGATGGCAATGATGATAACAATGATAATAACAATGATGATAATAATGATGATAACAATGATAATAACCTTAATTATGATGACAATGATGATAACAATGATAATAACAATGATGATATTAATGATGATGGCAATGATGATAACAATGATGATAACAATGATAATAACAATAATG